TGATATATGGATCCTTTGGAGAGTGGCGTGACAGAGTTTATTTTTGCTCTACCGATGATGTGTTGTTGCAATAGTAATTCTGCTATGTGTGAGAACATGTGTTTTATAGGCCTCAGAGTTCTCAGAGTAAATGGTGCAGCAGGATTTAGCTGTGATTCTGCACACAGGTGGAACAAACTCCCACTGCAACTGAAGGCAGCTGAAATGTGACTATTTTAGGTCCAGGTTAAAAACGTTTCTCTCACGCTCATGATTTAGTTAATAAATTATTCCATAATGTTATTTGCTTGTATTGTTTATATCGATATAAACATTGTGCCTATATTTTTCTCCTTCTCATGCCATTAATGTTCTTTAATGTGAAGTGTGAGTGACCTTTTGTATTAAATACATTACAAACAGAGGAAGAACACGGGGCAATAGTTTTTTCTGATTCATTTCACAGATTTTAACTCAAAGATGATTTGTGCTTACTGATGCCAGGTTGCAGTTTGCATTTTATTTTTTCTTTCATAACACTACAACATCAATGTGTCTGAACCAAGTGACACTTGTGACCTTTTTGTGTAGTATTGAATATGGCTGCCAAGAAACTTGACCAGACTTCAGTCAGAGCTGTTGAGCTTGAATTTGTTGACCTCTCCTACACCGTTCAAGACGGACCCTGGTGGAAGAGAAATGGTACAGCAAGTCAAAATTCAAAGTTGATGTATTTTATACCTACGTAAAGCTGCCAACCATCTTCCAAAATATTGTAATAGAATTAGCCATGTTTTTATTTTTTTTTCCAGATTTCAAATCACTTCTCAATGGAGTGTCAGGAAAGTTTGGCAGCAGAGAGCTCATTGGCATCATGGGGCCTTCGGGTTCTGGGAAATCCACCCTCATGAATATTCTGGCAGGATACAGGTGAGATAGCAGTAAGATTACAGTAAACAGATTTTACTCAGCTTTTATTTTTTTAATCTAAAAAAAAATATTACTTTGATAAACACTGAAGTGAATATTCTATAACAATGGTAGCTGAACTGTGCTACACAGTTTTATTATCATATTCAAAATTTACATCTGTATATTTTTATAGGAATCATAGTACTTTGACATGTCAGTTATGTGCAGTAATGTTCTCCTCTGCATTGAAAAACAGGGAGGGGGGCATGGAGGGTGAGATCTTTGTAAATGGACAATCGAGGAACGTGACGTCTTTCAGGAAGATGTCCAGTTACATCATGCAATATGACATGTTGCTGCCCCACCTTACAGCCAGGGAGGCCATGATGGTGAGGTCAACATCTTCTACACCAGGTGTAAAACTGCTGCCAGAAAAAGGGTCTTGACAGCTGTCTTGTCTTTTAGGTGTCTGCAAATCTGAAACTGAAGGAAAGCAATGAGTTCAAGAAAGAACTTGTGAGTATGAAATCAAATATGGGATCAATATATTACATTTTGATTATTAGCTGGTGTACAGAATTTGAATCAACAGGAGCTGTAATATGTGTATGATATTGTACTAGTTTAAATGGTTCTACACAACCAGTCACAGTCTAGTGCTGCAATAATTCAATAAATTCTCAAAATACATTTTATATATTTTCAATTTACACTTTCAGTTTACCCTGGTCATTTACCCCCAACCTTTTCTACTCTATTTCTTTTTCTGGTTTGGCACATTTTACCTTGGACTTCTTGAGATAACACATAACCTTTGAGATGACTGCATGTTTATCACCATGTCCTAAAATGAAAAGTGTTTGTGTGTTTCAGGTGGATGAGATTCTGACTGCGCTGGGCCTCCTAGGGGCTGCCGAGACACGTACAAGCTCGCTCTCTGGCGGTCAGCGTAAAAAACTTGCCATCGCCCTGGAGCTTGTCAACAGTCCTCCTGTGATGTTCTTTGATGACCTCACTAGGTAAGGACAACACTAAAATTGAAATAAATAAGTGAACCTTTTTTTCTGTTGTTAGTGTTAACATCTAAATTGAATTTCTCTCAAAGTGGATTGGACAGTGCTGCCTGTTTCCAAGTGGTTTCCCTCCTGAAGTCTCTGGCTCAGGGTGGACGTACAATCATCTGCACCATTCATCCGCCTAGTGCTAAGATCTTTGAGCTGTTCGACAAGGTGTTTTATTTATTTGACACAGTAAGACATCTACTGGACCTGCTCAAAAAGATACCGTGTTACTAACAAAAAGCTATGCTCCTGTTTTCCCAGCTGTACATCCTCAGTCAGGGTCAGTGCATGTACCAGGGCTCGGTCCCTAACCTGGTTCCTTATCTGAGAAACCTGGGTCTCCACTGTCCAACATACCATAACCCTGCTGACTTCAGTAAGTTTGTGTGAATGTCTGTGTCCTTTCCAGTGAGTGTGATGGTTTATTTGCTTCTTCTCTCTGTCCCTAGTTATGGAAGTGGTGTCAGGGGAGTCTGGAGACAAGAATGAGGTCCTGTTTGAGGCTGCCAAGGCTGGACGTTGTCCTGATGATGGCAAAAAAAGCTTAAAAAGCAACACTTATTCTTGTGTAAGTTAAACTAACACCTATTTTTTTTAGCAACCTATCCTTCTATGCCATAGCTGTTAAGACATAGGACTGATGACTTTAATTGAAATCTTCACTGATCTTACAAAAATAATTTTTTTCTGGAATGGATTTGAATAAAAATATCTATCACAACTTCTGTAATAGTTTTGGATTGAACTTGAGCATATAATTGAACCAGTAAATACTTTGTAAATGCATGTACAAAATCTAGCCACTAGAGGGCGACAAATCATATTCTTGCACAGGGCATCAAAAATGGCTGACTCTGATCTGGGCCGACTGTAGTATAGAGACATTTGGATAGTTAGAGCTCTGGGCTAAGTTTCCATTTATGAAAATGGCTAAATATAGTCAAATATATATATATATAAACCCTTTTGAGGGCCCACGTTTTAAATTTCTGTCTTTGTTTTGTTTCTCTACAGGACACGACCACTCTGGAGAAACACCAATTTGCCACCAGTACCTTCACACAGTTCAGTAAATTCTTTAAAGGGACCTTCACTGCAATAATGAGAAACCCGGTAAAGTAACAGTTTTCCTAATAATTCATCTTAAAAATCGAATTGCTGAAAATGCTGACATCACTGACATTGCTGAAGTAAAATAATATTTGTTTAATTTTGTTGATTCAATATGTGAATAGTGTTTTGATAAACAAAAGTGCTTAAAATTATAAATCTCACTTTGCTTTGCTTCATTTGCTTTTGTTGACATCAAATGTTTCTCATTATTTTTCCAAGGTTCTGACCCATCGCCCCCTCATGTCTCATCTGCTTGTTGGACTGCTGATTGGCTCTCTGTATTTGAACACTGGAAATGATGCCAATCTGGTTTTCAACAACACTGGTTGCCTCTTTGTCTCCATGCTCTTCCTCGTGTTTGCTGCACTGATCCCAACTATCCTGACCTGTAAGTGTCGTCCACAGCCGTCATGTTCATTTTTAGGTTACAGTTATAATAAATCAACATCACTGGTGCTCCACAGTTCCTCTGGAGGTGTCTGTCGTTTTGAGGGCAATTCGCAACAATTGGTACAGTCTGGAGGCCTACTACTTGGCCAAAACTGCGTCTGCTCTACTTGTACAGGTAACAGTGCTGTAAATTAATACTTCACAACATGATGTTCCTACAGAATACTGATGCTATCAATCATCTTTTCAGGTGATTTGTCCAATCATTTACTGCAGCATTGTTTACTGGATGACTGGACAGCCTCCCGTGGCCTATCGCTTCCTAAGCTTTGTGGCCATAGCCACGTTGACAGCACTGGTGGCCCAGTCACTTGGTCTCCTCATAGGGGCTGCATCACCATCAGCAGCGGTTAGTTCATCAGCATACTTGTAATATCTGTTAAAAATCTATAGATAGATCTATATCTATCTCTCTATCTATATCTGTCTGACTGTCTGTCTGTCCATCTATTCAACCACCCACTCTTCACTGTACAACTCTTTCTAAGCAGTTATTGCCTTATCCACAGGTGGCCACCTTCATGGGTCTAATCACAGCTATACCGGTGCTGCTCTTCATCAGGTAATATACTATAAACACTCAGTTGTAGTAGTCACACAGCAGTAGTAACACAGGCAAAGACTGATGATTGTTATATATACCTTCCTGACCTAAGTCCACTTCCTTAACATCTGACCACCACTGTCCCCATCCATTTCACTGTGAAAACGGTAGCTATGGAAAAACATTGACTCCATAGAAAAATACATACGAGTAAATATTTAATATGCTTCTATAACAAACACATCAGTAAATGTATATAATATACCAA